ATGTTTTAGTTTAATATTAATTACACTGTAATTCAAAGCGTAGAATATTTTTCATCAGTTAGTTATTTATTGCTCTTTTAATTTTCTTTATATTTTCTAATTTTAATTGCTGAACATATTATTATAAGATGTTAACATTCTGAAACAGTTTCTTTTGCATGGCATCATGCCCCTAGGAATATAAACTAATTAGGGAACTAAAAAAAAGTAAAACCACACAAAAAACACAAAAGAGCAATTTAAGACAGATAATGTACAGTATTTATATAACACCTATAGTATTTAATTTCTGATGTAGCTTCAATACTGCCTGTATGCACCATGAAAATTTATGGGTTAGTTCTGTTTATAACAATTCTTTGGCAAATTTCTTATTGTTTTAAAATTTTTATTATAATTATTGATTCATATTAATTATACAGATTAATGAGTTTCACTGCAATATTCCCATACATGTATATATCATGCTTTGTTCATATATACCTGCCTTACTACTACTGTCTTACTATATATGCCCCCCCTTTCCCAGGCATCCTGCCTTTTTCTTTCTTTAATAGTCTGACTTTTATTTTAAGACATCTTCTTTTTAGTTTCCACATATGAGAGACAAAATATGATACTTGTATTTCTGTGTCTGTCTTATTTTCCTTAACATGATAACTTTCAATGCCATCCATTTTCCTGAAAATACCATGATTATGTTCCTTTTAATGGCTGAATGAAACTCCATTGTATGCATACACCACTTTTTTTTTAACCAATTCATCTATTGATGGGTACCCAGATTGACTCTATATCTTGGATTTTTTTTAAGGATTTTTTTTAGAATTTTATTTTTTAAAGATGTTGATGAATCTTTATTTTATTGACTTATATGCAGTGCTGAGAATTGACCCCAGTGCCTCACAMATGCTAGGCAAATGTTCTACCACTGAGCCCAACATTTTCCAGCCCAACATTTTCTTTTAAATGTTTTCTTACTAGAAAGATTATCAAAGGTCAGAAGTTCACAGTTCTGTTGTCAGTATGGTTCCCTTCCATCTCTCTTTGTTTCTTTTTTTCTTTCTCSCCCCCTTTTTTTCTAATTTTCTTTCCCTTAACCCTTTACACTTCTCTCATTTTTTTTCTTAGCAAAGAATAGCAAATATTTATATTCCTACTACACAGAACGAATAACTTGTACAGTGTTCTATGAAAAAACCTACAGATTTTCTTTAAAGTACATAACTATAATGATAGCTAATATTGTTCATTCAGACTTTCATTGAACAAGATGATTGTAATGTATTTCTTTAAAAATACACTTTCCAGGCTGGGTGTCATGGTACACACCTGTAATCCCAGATACTTGGGAAGCTGAGGCGGAAGGATCATAAGGGGACAGTCTCTGCAACTTAAGACTGTCTCACAAATAAAAAAATAAAAAAACCTGTGACTGTAACCAATGGTAGAGTACCATTGGGTTCAAGTTCCAGTACTGTAAAAAATAAAATGTTTTCCAGGATAAAATAGTCATTAATTTAAAAAGGATTAGCCTTATTCTCACCCTTCTTCCTACCACTAAGTCTCTGATCTTTCAAATATTAAGACAAAAATTAGAGAAACTCTAATAAAAGTTATTTTATAAAGTACAGATAGATTTCATTAATATATTGGTATATGAATGGAGTCTTGAAAGTATTGAAAGTTTTAAATATGAATATATGATGAAGAAAGTATCTTAACATGGAAAAGAGTACTATATATAGATTTTACTTTGGGAATGAGTTCATGAAGTGGATAACCAAAAAACAAGAGTTGAAAACTAAATTCGGACCATTCTATGGAAGTTCTATTCTTAAGTGATAATCAGATATATGTTTTAGAGTGTTTTCCCATGTAGTAAAATATGTTGGAGAGCATTTGCATAAGATCAAAGTAACCTTTTAAAATTCAATTTTGGTAAATTGGCTACATAGTATTGTAATAGTCAATGTAGAATGCAAATGACTTGATGATTCACTGGCAAACTTTTTGGATTATGTGCAAATTTTTTGGTATGAATCATTTTTTATTCTTTTAAGATAACATGACAGTAGAGTGCAGTTTGACATACTATCCATATATGGAGTATAACTTATTAGGATTCCAAGCTCATGGTTGTACATGATATGGAGTATCACTGGTCATGTATTCGTATGTGAACATAGGAAAGTTATATCTGATGGCATGAATCATTTTTATTAGATACATAAAGTGTGTGCTACTTTCATCCATTGCTTAGGGAATATGTCCTCTTGTCATTGCTGTCTCATTTTGTATTATTGTAATCATAAGAAGCAATATTAGGAGGTATATGTGTGTATGTGTATACATATATGTGTGTGTGTGTGTATATACATGTGTGTGTGTGTGTGTATGAATGACATGGCCAAATTAAAATAGCTTTTTAATTACCACCTATTTTAATTTTATTGTAGAGCATCTCTTTAGAAGACGTTTGTATTCTTTAGTAGCCCAACATTTGATCCTTGTTTATGTGTGAAGTGTTTCCTACATAATGAGTTTTTGTGAGAGGCATAGGTCACCTCTTTCTGTAGAAAGTGAAAATAAAAAGCCCCAGTTACTTGTTTCCTAGTCTGTGTTAAAGATTGTGAATGGATTTATGATCTAAGCTCAGATTTTTTTTTGGTCAAGATTTTACTTCTGTTATTTCCTAAAATATTTTTTATTTTATTGTACAACTATTATAATGAATGGTGGATTTCTTTGTGACATTGATACATGCGTATAAAATAATTTGATCAGTTTTCTTTCCCTTGCCTTCCTCTCTTCCAGCTTCCATTTTCCTACCCTATTGGTCTCATTTCTATTTTCATGATGTTCATCCCTCAATTCACACTAGCTTCCACATGTAATAGAAAATATGATCTTTCTCTAGTCTGCAGTTAACATGATACTATCCAGTTCTATCCATTTTCTTGTAAATAACATAATTTCTCTATGTTATTTACAAGACAATGTTCTTTCTGGCTGAATAAAACTGTATCACGTTCATCTGTTGATGGAAACCTGAGCAGATTCTATAGCCTGGCTATTGTAGCTGTGCTGTGATAAATAGGTATGTGTATATCACTAAAGTATACTGACTTTAATTCTTTTGGATAATTATATTTATAATGTTGTTTATTAAAATCTTATTACCTGTAAGACTACCAGGAATATTGTGTGAAAAACTTACCAAGATTTTAGCTATAAAATGATATGCCAGGTTGCATCTAAATATTAGTTAATTAAATTTGATGAAAGTGTGTATAGTAGTCCATGAATATTTCCAAATTTGGAAACATTGCTAATAGAACTATGAATAGTAGAACTAGATTATATGGTAGTTCTATTTTAGGTTTTTAGGAACCTCCATACTGGTTTCCACAGTGGCTGTACTGATTTACATTCCCATCTTCAGTGTATAATAGTTTCACTTTTCCTGCTTCTTCACCAGCATTTATTATCGTTTGCATTTTTGATGATTGCTGTTCTGATTGGAGTGACATAGATTCTCGATGTAGTTTTGATTTGCATTTCCCTGATAGCTAAAGATGTTAAACATTTTTTTTCATATATTTGTTGACCATTTGTATTACTAGTTTTGAGAACTGTCGGTTCAATTCATTTGTCCATTTTTTAGTGGATTGTTCTTTTGATGTTGAGATTTTGAGTTCATTATATATTCTAGATATAAATCCTGTATCAGAAGAGTGGCTAGGAACAAGTTTTCCCATTCTGCAGGTTGTCTTTCATGTGGTAATTGTTTCCTTTGCTGTACAGAAGCTGTTTTATTTGATGCAGTCCCATTTGTCAATTGTTGCAATAATTTCCTAAGCTATTGGAGTCCTATTCAAGAAGTTGTTGCCTGTGTCTATATGTTGGATTGTTTCCCCTATATTTCCTTTTAATAGTTACAGTATTTCTGATCTTATWCTTAGATCTTTGATTTATTTTGATTGACTTCTGTACAGGGTGAGAATAGAGAATTTAATTTCATTCTCCTACATATGGATATTCAGCATGCCAAAGTGGCATATTTTGGGGCTCAGTTTTCTGAGCCTAACATCAGCTACCCAACTTGCAATATTTGAGTTAAAGGACTAAGACATAAGGTATGAGGTTTAAAGTACAGATAACTGATTTATTAATGTATCTGAATTTGTTTTGCTCTGGCACTAAACTTAACATTTCTGTGGATCTTAAATAGATTTTTGCCTCTTCTTGATTCCCTGTCAATTTCAGTAGAATGTCTAAATACAAAGAAAGGCAAAGAAAATAGAAATGTTGACCAAGGATATTGTTATCAGATGAGATGTTTCAATAATAGATCTTTTCTAATGCATTACTTTCTTTTTGCTATCTTGGTTTTATAATTAAGATTTATTTTGTGCCAATTATTCATTTTTATTGTATCCTGGATTTCCTAAGAAAATTTTGTGAAATATATACAATAAATACATTAATAATATTTTTGTAGTTTCTTTTTAGAAGATAATGCAATTAGACTGGGTTGTAGCTCAGTGTTAGAGCACTTGCCTAGCATGTGTGAGGCACTGGGTTTGATTTTCAGCACTGCATATAAATAAATAAAATAAAATTCCATTGACAACTAAAAAAAAAGTAAAAAAAAATTTAAAAAGAAAATACAATGATCACTACATTTCAAGTCTTTAATTCAACTAAAATAGAAATTGCCTTTTTTTTTGAGGTACTGGGGATTGAACTCAGGGGCATTCAACCACTGAGCCACATTTTATAATAGGCCAGCCCTATTTTGTATTTTATTTAGAGACAGGATCTCACAGAGTTGCTTAGTGCTTTGCTTTTGCTGATGCTAGCTCTGAATTCATTATCCTCGTGCCTCAGCCTCTCAAGCTGCTAGAATTACATGCATGCACCACCACACTTGGTGGCAATTGTCTTTAAAGTCATTTCTTTAATCACTGTATCTTCTGTCTTGCTTCCATTTTTAGAACCAGGGTTCTGATCAAGCAGGAGAGGAGAAAACAAAAGGTGAGGAAGATATATTTTTACTTGTGTTATCCTTATGTGAATCGTGATCTTCTGAAAYATTTTCTACTATTAATAAGTTCACCTAAGTGAATCAAATCAATCATCTTTCTTTAGTCTTCATCCTTGTAGATAGCTTGTTTAAATACTTTTGCTCAGACAGAGATTTAAAGATTATTGTTGATTACTTACGTCCTTCTAGTTCTAAAGTATATTTCAAGTCTGACCTCTTCTCACTGTTATAGTGTTAGCACTATAATTCACATCATCATTTACTGCCTAAAGTACTATAATGGTCTCTTGTCCTTTGTCATGCTTTAACTTGTCCTTTTTTATTTTACTGATTGTGTTATAAAGTTGAGCAAGTATGTACTGAGTGGTATATGTCTGAAAGAAACTCTTATACATGTGTACTTAGAGATAATGTATAAGATTGTTTGGGTCACTTTTATTGTTAAAATAGCAAACAAAAAGAAACAAGAAGGAGAAAAAAGAAGTGCATCTAGAGGGAGGAATAAGAGAGGGGAATAACCTAAACACCCATTAGTAATAGAATTATCAAACAGATTGTGGTATATTCAAGTAATGGTATGTATGGACTTCATGTAATTAGGTAGATCAATCTCAAGGACATAATGTTGAGCAAAAGAACCACTCACCGAAGAAGACAAGCAATAAGATTCCTTTCACAAAAAGTCCAAAGCAGTAAAAACAAAGGAACAAAAACCTAGTGTCCTAATATGTCAAAGGTAGTAAAATTTAAATGAAAAGGAATGACAGTGAAGGCAGCATAGTTGTCCTCTTTGGATCCTTTCCCTTTTCTTCTGTGGCCCTTCACTCTCACTTCACATTTAGTTCTCAGTCTGCTGCACTGTACAATTCTTGTTAATGTCAACAATGAACCTTCTATTGTTGAATCAAAAGAATGTTTTTCAGCCCAACTTACTTTAATATGATGATATTTCCAATGTAGTCTGCCATTTCCTTTATTTTTAAACAAACTGATCCCATGCTTTCTTTGACTCATTCTCTAGATTTTATTTCTGCCTCTCTGGTTATTCCTTTTTTAATGGCTTTAGGTTAAAATTTGATTTATGATTTTTCTGAAAGTTTTCTTATTCAGATTGTTTTCTAGTTTTTTTCTACCAAGTAAGACTTGATAGAAAAATTGAGCCTGGTCATATTAGGTAAATCAGTGACATACTCTTGTCCTTTCTAGGAACAGAGATTATGGGTAGCATGATAGCTTGAGCAGGGATAAACCTCTCTTGGGATGTTTCCTGGAATCCTAGGCTACTCACTTTGCAGACAGTCTTTGTAGTTTCCCCTTATTCTTGGAACCTTGAATTTCTACTCCCTTTGGCTAACTCTGACTCATGTATCYATCTTAGAAATCATTACCTAAAAAAATCCTAGTCCTCCTGCCCTCCATCTGTCCATCCTCCCCCATTACATTAACCTTCCACAGTATTTTATATCATCCCCTGTCATACTCAGTTGTAATTGTGTCTCTCATTCCTATGATTTCATCTATCATAAAATACAGTGCCTCAAGAAATAATATTCTTAATTCCAGTACACCATCAAGTATAAGATCTAGCATTGATAGGTAATTTTTTTGGGTCCAGTGATAGAATCCAGGGACTCTAAACCACTGAGCCACATTTMCAACCCTCTTTATTTGTTTATTTTTAAATTTTGAGCCAGGATCTCACTAAATTGTTGGGGATGGCTTGGAAATTGCAATCCTCCTGCCTCAGCCTCCCGAGCTGCTGGGATTACAGTTTTTTTAAGAGCAGAAATGTTTTCATCCTGAGGTTTCTACTATTTTATTACTGAATCATACTATGATCATTTAAAAGACATTTTAGTCAAATTTAGGATTGTACATTACTCAAATGAAATATGTATGCATACCCTTTATCTATGATATATTTTGTATAAGAGAACATTTACTATTATGTTTGATAGTTGGCAAGTCTTTTATAGTTCTTACAAGTTTTTTAAAACCTTTAAAGTTGGTTGTAATTGACAGTATTCCAAGAAGTTAATGTGAATGAGCCTTACCCTCTTGAAAATATGATATATAATTATTTGGAAATATGATTCTTATGTTAAGATTTTTCATGTCTTAGACTTTTTCCTTCTAACTACTCACATGTTAAGGAAGCTATGGTATTATATTATGAATTATTTAATGGAATAGAAAATGTTTAAAGACAATTTGTTACAGTGTTTAGCACATAATATTTGCTCAGTTAATATTACACAAATCAGTGTTTTTTAATTTGGTCAATTAAAGACGTAATTTGAAAAAAAAAGGAAGAATAATTATAGTTCAAGCAGGAAGAAAATAAAAGCTGAATGAAGAATGATAATTATGTGCAGATCTGTCTTTTTTTTTTAAAAAAAAAAAACAACCTTCTAGGAATAAAGGAGGGATAATACAGTGAACTAAATTGGCATTGATTGCAGATATTTTTTACATAGTTTCCTTCCTTCTCATTTCTCATTTCTGCTGACTTTTAATGACACTTAGCTGCAACATACCTTTACGGCATTTTTATATTTATAGGATAGCATACTTTGTAGAAGAACAGGTTTTTAACCTGTGGGATTTTTTGTTTGTTTGTCTGTTTGTTTTTGTACCAGGGATTGAACCCAGGGGCATTTAACCACTGAACCACATCCTCAGCCCTTTTTTTCAATTTTATGTAGAGACAGGGTCTCACTGAGTTGCTTAGGGCCTCCATAAGTTGCTGAGGCTGGCTTTGAATTCGTGATCCTTCAGCCTCAGCCTCCCAAACTGCTGGGATTACAGGCATRTGCCATTGTACCTGGCCAAATGTTTTTATTATACTATGCATATAGATTATTTTTGATACCTGGGAATACTTCTTTTAAAAAAATTCCATTTTAAAATATCATATGTTGTAATAAAAATTAATTTAAAAATCCAAGATAAACTTTATTAAATGCTGTAAAATTTAGAGTTTTTAAGCAAGTTACAAGTTATTATAATCGATTTTAATTCATATGTAGACATATAAAGGTGGTGTCACAAAAATATACAAATATCAAGTCAATGATTTAATACCATTAGTGCATTTATGACTTATGGTTCTGCCTTAAATTAACTGGTTGATGCATTAATTTTTAACATTTTAAATTATTTTAGGAATACTTTGAAAGGAACAGGTTAAAATCAAAAATGAAATTACTGGGAGTTTTGTCCCCTGCAAAAAATTCCACTGCCAGTTTAGACCTCCTTAACCTATATATGGTAAATCAGATATCTTGTAAGAAGAAAACACCTGGTAAGTCTTTCCAGTAGCATTTTGTTTCAACCTTAATGTGACCATAATAATTTTTGGCTTTCTAATTAATTTGCAATTTTAGAACTCAAAGCATGTGGCAAATTAATTTAAAACTTTGGTGCTCTTTAAATTAGAATAGTAACAAGATCTTAATGAACATTGTTTAAAATCTTTGTTGCTTAATCCATTTATTTTTATATTTAGGTTGTATATGTGTTATATAACATTAATTTATTAGTGATAGTTTTAATTACTATAGTGAATTTGTTGTAATTATTACATTATTTTTTCCTAGGCAGATAGTTACCAGAGTTTAGCTAGAAAGCAAAGAATAATAAATATGTCTACCATCTTTTACATTTAGAGAATTTGTTTTAAAAGAGTAGCAGGGAAGATTTTTCCCTGAATGACTGGTTTCCTGTCCCAAAAGATTGAATTACTTCTTACACATTCCCGGGATGCTACTTGAAAATAATGTCTGTTTTCTCCTGCTCTTCAATTAAACAAAAAGATAATCAGATTATTTTTCTCTCTCTCAAGGAACAAATATATATCTGGTATTTAATGTTTTAAGTAAGTGTTAAAATGGGAGCTTAAAAATAAGACAATTCAAAGAAGGATATAAATCAATCAGAATAGTAATATCTCTTCATTTACTTTGTCTCCAATTTTTCTTCCTCCCTCCATGAATGACAWCTTGCACAAGTACATTTATTTATATTTTTAAAAGGAATGTTATGTATGAACTTGGGAATAAAACTTCTTACTATAAATTGAATGTATTTACTTTTATTGCCTGATTTTTAGGCAAGGAAAAATATTTTCCTTTCTATCACAAGGTTCATGGCTGAGGCCACAGCCATGTTATGTCTGTCTTCTACATGATAGACAAGTCACTATCTGTCAAGTAAATAACAGATTAACAAATTAATAGAGATATATTTAAAATATTTTATGTGACATGACAACCTTTTTAAGAAAATGAAGACCCAAATCAGTCAGTAAATCTGTGCGAGGTTTGATGAAGAAGTGGATGGCTGTGGAGATGTATGATTGGATTAAAAAGAAAAGCATGAGCTAATGATATTAACCTAAGAGCAACTTGCTGTTGGTTAAGAGTCTTATCTTTGATCTTGTGTCTTCAGAGAGAAGGATGTTTTGACTGGTGTGCCTCAGTGGTAGAATGCTTTCCTAGCATGTGTGAAGATCTAGATACTATACCCAGCATAATAAAAATATTTTCAAAAAAATTGAAAACTATGATACTTCCCTTGAAGTGTAAGAATAACACCTGTTTTCAATTACTATAATTATGAATACATATTAATTTATATTTTAGTGGGATTCCCTGTGATATTTCCATACACACATACATTGTGCATTTACCATATCCATTTACCCTTCTTCTACACTTCTACCCTGACCCCAGCATCCCAGTCCCTAGTAATCAGAAGGATACCTCTTTTAAAAAATTTTTTAAATTTGTTCTGTTTAAATAAAAATGACAGTAGAATATATTTTGTTATATTATACATTCATGGAGTATAACTTAGAATCCCATTCTTGTGATTATATATGATGTGGCKTTACACTGGTTGTGTATTCATATATGAACATAGGAAAGTTATGTCCAGTTCATTCTACTGTCTGTCCTATTCCCTTTCCTCCTCCTTTCCTTTCACTCTCCTTTGTTTAATTCAATGAACTTCTGTTATTTCCTTCCCCATCCCCTTATTGTGTGTTAGCAACCACATATCAGAGAGAACATTCTGACTTTGGGTTTTTGGAATTGACTTAGCATGATATTCTCCAGTTCTATGCACTTACTGGTAGATACCATAGTTTTATTCTTCTTTATGGCTGAATAATATTTCATGGTATACGTATACCAAATTTTCTTTATTAATTCATTGTTGAAGGGCATGTAGATTGGTTCCATAGCTTCGATATTGTAAATTGAGCTGCTGTAAACATTAATGTGGCTGCATCACTGTAGTTTGCTGATTTTTAACTCCCTTTGGTATATATTGAGGAGTGGGATTAGTGGGTCAAATGGTGGTTGTATACCAAGTTTTCTGGGGAATCCCCATACTATTTATAGAGCAATTGCACCAATTTGCAGTCCCACTAACAATGTATGATTGAATCTTTTCCCCCACATCCTCACCAACATTTATTGTTACTTTTATTCTTGATAATGGCCATTCTGAGTAGAGTGAATTGGAATCTGAGTAGCAATCTCTAATTGCTAGAGATATTGAATATTGTTTCATAATTTTTTGAGCATTTGTATTTCTTTTTCAGTGAAGTGCCTGTGCAGTTGCCTTGCCTATTTATATATTGGGTTGTTTGTTTTCTTGGTGTTAAATTTTTGAGTTTTTAATATCTACCAGAGATACATGCTCTGTATGATATACAGGTGGCAAAGATTTTCTCCCATTCTGTAGGATCTCTACAGAATGTTCTTGATTGTTTCTTTGATTTGAAGAAGGTTTTTAGTTTGATAATATCCCATTTATTGATTCTTGGTTTTACTTTTTGCACTTTAGGAGTCTCGTTGAGGAAGTTGGTTCCTAAGCTGACATGATGGAGAATCRGGCCTACATTTTCTTCTAGCAGTTGCAGGGTCTCTGGTCTGCTGCCCAGGTCCATGATCCACTTTGAGTTTGGGGAAGAGTGAGAGAGAAGGGTTCAATTTCAGTCTTCTCCATATGGATATCCAGTTTTCTCAACACCATTTGTTGAAGAGGCTGTCTTTCTCCAGTGTATGTGTATGGCGATATGAGATCACTATATTTATGGGGGTTTGTCTCTATATCTTCTATTCTGTACCATTGGTCTTCATGTTTGGTTTGGTGCCAAACACATACCATTCATTGTTTGTTACTATAGCTCTGTAGTATAATTTAAGTTCTGGTATTGTGAAGCCTCACTTTTTTGTTGAGGATTGCTTTGGCTATTTTGGGCCTCTTATTTTTCCCATTGAATTTCATGACTGCTTTTTCTATTTCTATGCACAACATCATTGGAATTTTAATAGGAATTGTATTAAATATATATAGCACTTTTGTAAGTATGGCCATTTTGTCAATATTAATTCTGCCTATCCAAGTACATGGGAGATCTTTCCATCTTCTAAGGTCTTCTTCAATTTCTTACTTTAGTGTTCTATAATTTTCATTATAAAGGTCTTTCACCTCTTTTGTCAGCTTGACTCTCCAATTTTTTTTGGAGGCAATTTTGAAGGGGTAGTTTTCCTAATTTCTCTTTCTGTTGATTCATCACTGTGTATAGGAATGCAATTGATTTATGGGTGTTAATTTTATATCCTGATACTATGCTGAATTAATTTTTGAGTCTAGCAATTTTCTGGTGGAGTTTTTGGAGTCTTTTAAATATAGATTCATGTCATCAGCAAATAGGGATAATTTGATCTCTTCTTTTCCTATTTGTATCCCTGTAATTTCTTTCTTCTAACTGCTTTGCCTAGAGTTTCAAGGACTATGTTGCCTGGAAGTGGTGAAAGTGTCTTGTTCCAGTTTTTAGAGGGAATGCTTTCAATTTTTTCTCCACTGAGAGTGATGTTGCTCTGGGGTTTAGCATATATATTGAGGTATATTTCTACTATCCCTAGTTTTTCTAGTGTTTTGAATAGGAATAGATGCTGAATTTTGTCAGATGCTTTTTCTGCATCTATTGAGATGATCATGTGATTCTTGTCTTTATGTCTAATAATGTGATGAATTAGGTTTACTGATTTCTGTATGTTGAACCAACCTTGCATCCCCGGGACGAACTCTACTTGATCATGGTGTGGTGTCTTTTTAATATGTTTTTGTATGCAATTTGCCACAATTTAATCAAAAATTTTTGTATTTATGTTCATCAGGGATATTGGTATGAAGTTTTCTTTCCTGATATGTCCTTGTCTGGTTTTGGTATCAGGGTGATACTAGCTGCATAGAATGAGTTTGGAAGGATTCTCTCCTTTTCTGTTTCATGAAATCATTTGACATGAATTGGTGTTAATTCTTTGAAGTTCTGGTAGAACATGGCTGAGAATCCATCTGGTCTTGGGCTTTTCTTTCTTGAWAGGCTTTTAATGGTGTCTTCGATTTCATTGCTTGAAATTGATCTGTTTAAATTTTCTAGGTACTCATGATGCAATTTGGAGATCATATGTCTCTAGACATTTATTGCTGTCTTCAAGATTTTCGATTAAATTATAGAATAAATTTTCAAAATAGGTTCTGATTATCATCTGTATTTTAGTAGTGTCTGTTGTGATATTTCCATTTTCATTGTGAATTTTGGTAATTTGAGTTTTCTCTTTTTATTTATTAGCTTGGCTAAGGGTTCACCAATTTTATTTATTTTTCCAAAGAATCGACTTTTTGTTTCATCCATTTTTGGGATTATTTCTTTTGTTTTCTTCATTGACTTTCACTCTGATTTAATGATATTCTATCTTCTATTACTTTTGGTGTTGATTTATTCTTTTTCTAGGGCTTTGAGATGTAATGTTAGGTTAATTGTTTGTTGACTTTCTATTCTTTTAATAAATGAGCTCAGTCCAATGAACTTTCCTCTTAGCAGTGTCTTCATAGTCTCCCAGAGATTTTTGATATGTTGTGCTGCTATTCTCATTTACCTCTAAGTATTTTTTTTATTTCATCCCTGATTTCTTCTGCTGTTTATAGGTAATTCAATAGTGTGTTATTTAGTCTTCAGGTGTTAGAGTAGATTCTACTCTTTATTTTATCATTGATTTCTAATTTCATTCTATTATGATCTGACAAAATGCAAGGTACTATCTCTGTTTTTTGTATTTGCAAGAGTTGCTTTGTGGCCTGAGATATTATCTATTTTAGAGAAGGATTCATGGGCTGCCAAGAAGAAAGTGTATTCAGTCCTGATGGATGAAATATTCTATATGTCTGTGAAGTCTAAATTATTATTTGTATTTTTAATTCTATAACTTCTTTATTTAGTTTTTGTTT